GTTGCGACCAATTCAGGGTGCGACCAGAGTCACGGAACGAATTAAGTTCGTAAACCGAGGTACCACTGTACTGTATTTCTAGTTTTTCATGCAATCTGCTTAAAATGACTGAAGCTATCCATTGTCAAAGACTGGAAACTGGACTTACTATAAAGATAGTCTCCCTGGATTTTTGTAGTAAATTCTGCTGTCCTAATCTAATCTCTCCACATGCATTCAATTCCTGGTGATTATCTCCTCCTTCATTATATCTCCTTACTGCCATGTAAGCAATTTATCACTTTCTTATAACTCAGTATTCTCCATCCCAGCTCCCTCTAGGTGTATTGGGACTGTAATTCCCAGAATTCCAGCTGAGCATGGAAAAAAGTTTGGAATTTTGGTAATAGCAGTACCAGAATATCTGAAGGGTGGCCATGCTGGAAAAGATTACTTTATCTTTCCTTCATTCTAACAATCATTGTTTTCCCTTTGCTTTTTTAAAAAAAACTCTCAAACTACTTTTGCTTCTCCACTTACCAACCATTTCCCTTTTCTACTTTAACATGATGGTTTTTGTTGCTGTTTATAGTTTTTGATCTCAAGGTTCTCTCTGGGACCTCTGAAATATGACATCAGTCTTCTTGGTTCAGAGTGTTCTCAAATCATTGAAAGCTGACTCATTGCCAAGTTCAAAAATCTTGTCCTTGTTCTCCTTGATCATTCTGTTTTGACTGAAATGGTTGACAAATCTTTTATTTGACTACCTTCTTTCCCAGGCTTCTATGATTTTGTTTTAGCAGGTTTTCTTCCTGTTAATTTAACTCCCTCATTTACAATTTCTACAGAGGAAACTTCTTTTTCTGCTTTTCCTTTTTCTGTTGGAAGGTCACCTAGTAATCTTCTCTAAATGCATTGTTCTTGGATATGTTCACCAAATCCCATGGCTTTCATTATTAAAATATTAAAAGACACTGATAAAACACTAAGGGCAGAGTATATTTGGAGAAGAGTACTAAAGTTACGGATTCTAGCAATTTTCTCCAGAACATTTGCTTCTGTCCAGTCTTTCTTTCCATTACCTGCCTGGTATTTCTCATATTTGATCATTACTGAAAAATGCAATATGTCCACAACCAAATTTATCAGCTTTCTTCACAAATCCCCATCTCCACTGGTGAGCAGTATTGCCATCCACCCATTTCAATCTTCATGGATACTTAGCTATACCTATGACATTCTCCCTATTTTGCTCTGCCACTTTGCACTTTTATTTTTACTTAGCCTTTATTATTTCCCTCTACTTACTGCAACCCATTGCTCTCTGGACTTTTAAGGTCACATCCTGACTATCTTCCTACGCAAAATCATTGAGCATATGATGCTTCTCCTTAACTTGTTTTCCAGATCCAGCATAAATTTACCTCTGAAGTCCACCAAGAATTCTGATAATTTTCTGCTCTTATATATCCCTAATTATGTCTTTAGTATCTTAACACTCTCTTGAGTGTTTTGTCATTGTTGTTGTTCCTAACCCTTATGTATGGAGCTGTCATCCAAAAAACCTTCAGTTCTGTTTGTTTCCTCAAATCTCACTTTTTCTTAAAATCCTTGGTATTACTCCTAAGACCTCTGAGTGTGTGCTGAAAATGTTTTCATTCACTATTGCACTTCATGCCCATGGCAATGTAATCAAAGTAATTATGTGTGCATTATTACTATCAGGTTTCTTTTTCCATGATATTTTACTATGCTTATCATTATGCTTTACTGTTCTTTATAACAAACTTACTTTGGCTTCCTCTAAACTTTCTAATGTTCTAATAACTGAAACAGAATTGGAAAACCAAAGGAAAATATTTAATTTTACTCTTTTGAGATAGGAACCTAAAACTTATTTGTATCGTAAACTTTTTACAAGGCTGCTCTTCATCCATATCTGTATCTTTATATCCACTTTATGGGTTAAATTTACTTATGCAGCATTATTCTAGCTATGGATAGAGTCTTCACATTCAGAGACAATTTACTCTTAAAAGCCAGATATAAGGGATAAACTAAGATCCTTTCCATAGGCAAGGTTTAGGACTTGGGTACATCTCAGGAAGCTGAGCCAGTTAACTAATGGTTCAATTCCTATCCAAAGGAACCATTACAAAGACAGTTTTGCAGAGATTTCTCTAAAACTCTATTACAGGTGGTGTCCAGCCTCATCCTGCCTTCCTGCTCCTTTAATCAAGATGCTGTGGCACCTTGCCACCCATTCTTCCCAGTTGATCCCAAGGCCGACTGTTATTTTTTGCATCTGTTTTTCCGCATGGTAAAAAGCAAATGTGTCAAAGGAAGAACAAGGGCAGGGCATTATCTAGGAGTCATTCTCTTACTGGCCAATGAAAATATCACTTCTGGCTGGAACATAAAAGAAAAGGCACTAATACAGTAGTGTAAAATGGCTGCTGAGGTTTTGAGAGGTGACTCCAGTGTGGCTTTGTAGAAGGGCCCAAATATTCAAATTGTCACCATCTTATGTTTTTTTCATTGGGGCCATCCAGTCATCTACTCTCAGTGCTGGGTTAGTAGAATATCAGACCTAAATCGGATAACAATTCTTTTTCTTATACTTTATATAAGGAACACCCTTCTGCCTGAGATTTAGCACCCCTAGCCATCCTAAAAGTCTTGAAGACATAGCTTTTCCCACAAGCA